AAGGGAAGAGGAAGAAGTTCGCTTTTGGAGTCTTGGATTTTGTGCAGGGAGTCAGGTTCTGCTGTGTGGAAAACACAGATCTGGTCCTTGGCATTGTGCTCAGGGAAAGAAGTTTTGGCATTTCAGCGATCTGAAGTTTTGGCGTTATGGAACTGTGCGTTTACAGGCTGCAGGGAAGCAGGGTCTGGCCTAACAGATGCTTCTCCAAGGAGGAAGACTATTTGGGTGCATGAGGATGAATACATGTACGTGTGTGTGAATGTTGAGTGAAAATGTAATTCCCCTTTGTTTGTTTGTTAACCCATGAAATTGTAAATCCAATGTAGTTGCATAGAATCTGTATGTCTGTATGTCCAACGTCATTCTTCATCTAAATGTTTTTCTGTAATCTGATGTCCCCTCTCACAATGGAAATGGCAATAAAAAGAACCTATGCTTCAAAGTCATTGTAAAGTCATTCGTGACACAAGGAAGAGGAAAGGCCTTGCAGCCCACTCCCACAGTGTTGTCGTTTCACTGATTTGGCCAAAGGCTGGAGATCACTGCAAAGCCCACCTCTACAAGGGGAACTGAAGCACCTAAAGCGGGCTCTCCAGGCCAATAGGTATGTATTCTACGACAGGCACCAGAAGAGCTGCAAAGCCTAGAACAAGCCACGAGAGTCAAGGCAAAATCCACCTAGACGAAAGGGTTGTTGCCATAAATCAAGGGAAACACTGACCACAGAGGGAAGCTGATGAGGAAACACAACCTAAAAACAATCTAGAGACCCACTAAGATAATCCAACCAATTCTATGTTCAGCCAAGGACAAGAGGGATCCTCTCCCCTCTGCAGGAGTCTATGTTGAAGCTGTTTGCAATTTATAATGTAGATTTCAAAGTATGCATGTATGTTTAAAATGCAGCAGCTATGTGCCGAGTGTAATGTATTCCTGTGTGGAAAGTGTTAACTGAACCATGGAGGGCATTCCTAGAGAGGTCATAAATCAAGTGTGTAGAACAAATAGACGCAGTGTCCTACGTCATACGTTACTCTGGAATGCAGGAGGTGTGGACTAGTACTGATAACAGTTGAAGAGTTTCGCGATGTTACGGTTGGACGGTAAAGAAGCAAGTTTACGATGTGCTGAGTGTGAAGTAGCTTCTAATGTATATAGCTATAAAATAAAGTAGTTTATTGCCCAGGTGGCTGTGATTGATCTGTTCTTGCCTTGCTGGGCTGCCAATGTCACTGACAGTCTACTGCATATCATGTTTTGATTCTGGTGTTTTTAAAGACTGGCCGCCAGATTCCGGACAATAAACAACCAAGTGCCAGTTAGCACCTCCCAAACAGAGGCTAGGATGCCTCTAGGCAACAGAGGCCAGGCTTTGCAACTGTAAGGCTATTCAATGCTAATCAAGCTGGCCAATGGCAATATCTACACTTGCTTCAAACAGACACTAAGAAAATCCAACAACTACGTTCAGCAAAGGACAAGAGGGATCCTCTCCCCTCTGCAGGAGTCTACCATTATGTACCATGCAGCTGTGGACAAGAAGTCTCCAGAGGGACCACCAAACGCAGCAGCATTGCCCAAACACGTATCAAGGAACATGAAAGGCACTGCAGACTCCTTCAACCAGAGAAGTCAGCCAGAGCAGAGCACCTGATGAACCAACCTGGACACAGAATATTATCTGAGAACACAGAAATGCTAGACCACTCTGACAGCCATTGTGTCAGACGATACAGAGAAGCAATTGAAATCCACAAGAAGCACATGGGAAATTTCAACAGAAGGGAAGAAACCATGAAAAGGAACAAAATGTGGTTACCAGTATTTAAAAAATACCAGAATCAAAGACAGCAAATAAAGAACTCCACTCAGAAGCTCCAGACAGCAAGCAATCAAGTGCCAGATAACATCTCCCAAACAGAGGGTGCCTCCAGGCAACAACAGCCAGGCCACCTCTACACAGAGACCCTCACTGATTGACTTTGCTGCTGCAAGGCTACCCAATGCTAATCAAGCTTGCTTTAGACAGACAAGGGTTCATTCTTCAATCCTAGACAATATTTCACAGGTATGTATACGCTCGACATGCCTCACTGCCAACAGAACCTCTGAAGTTGCCATGAGCCACAGATGCAGGCAAGACCTCAGGAGAGAATGCTACTGGAACATGGCCATACAGCCCAGAAAATTCACAGCAACCCAGCTGGAGATGCACCCAGATTGCTTGATCTCTGAGCAATAGAATCAATGTAGGAAGGGACTCCTACTCACCCAAATCTGCCATATTTGGGAACACACCATCAAAGCTCTCCTAACAGATGGCCACCCACAGCATCTGTTTCCAAAACCTCCATAGATGGAAAGAGAGTGCAAGACAAGCAGATTCCTCTACCGAACAGCAATGTCAGGAAGCTTTTCTCAAGGGGACCCACTTGCAACCGATGGGCATCTCTTCCTATGGACAACGTGGCCAGAGTGACCATCTCGTCTGCTGCAGAGCCAATGTCTCCAAGCCTAGGAAATGGTTCCAAATGTGTGTTGAGGTGCACATTTCCACATAAGGGTTCCTCTCCTCTCCATCCCCAGGAGCGGCCTGGAGGAGGCTCTTCTCTGTGCCTTTTAATGCCCAAAATGTGGCCATATTAGTTGGCTGGGAAGCGGATGCTGCAGCAGCACTGGAGGCCCAATGCTGCCCTATGTGCCGTGCTTATGATCTGGCAGACCCCCAGCGAGGTGGGCCTTCATCGCAAAGACTTGGCAGACTCCTCTGACGTGAAATCAGGGAACAGATGGCAGAGGCAGAGTGCAGCAGCGGCAGCAGCCCCGAGAAGAAGGGATGAATAATGAAAGAGTGGGAGGGAGATGCCTGCACACCCTGATGGATGCAAAAGCCCTGGGACCCAAAGCAGCAGGAGAAGGCTTTGGGACCCCTCCCAGTTTGGACTGGGGTGCATTGGGAAGGGGGGAGGTGTGCAATACTGAAAGGAAGGCCTAATCCCAGACCAAAATACAAGGGTCCTCCAGGACAGAGATGGTCAGGTGTCCAACTGGGGCAGAGATGGGACAGAGACGTCCAACCAGTGCACTCAAACAATGTCCTCAAAGACATTTGAGGGGGGGGGTGTCCTCCCTGGACAAAAATGGTCAGGTGTCCATCTCATCCAAGACAGAAGGATATATAACTGGATACAGATGGTTGGACGTTCATTTAAGATAGAAATGGTCAGGTGTCCATCTCATCCAAGAGAGTCGGACATCTAACTCAATACAGATGATCGGACATCATTTAAGATAGAAATGGTCAGATGTCCATCTCATTCAAGACAGCTGGACATCTAACTGGACATATATGGAAGGACATTCACTTAAGATAGAAATGGTCCGGTGTCCATCCCATCCAAGACAGCCGGACATCTAGCTGAATACAGATGGTCGGACATTCATTTACAATAGAAATGGTCAGATGTCCATCTCATCCAACACATCTGGACATCTAAATGGATACAGATGGTCAGACATTCACTAAAACAGATATGGTGAGATGTCCATCTCATCCAAGACAGCCGGACATCTAACTAGACACAGATGGATGTACATTCACCAGACAGAAATGGTCAGATGCCCATCCCATCCAAGACAGCTGGACATCTAGCTGGATACAGATGGTCGGACATTCATTTACGACAGAAATGGTCAGATGTCTATCTAATCCAAGACATCCGGACATCTAAATGGATACAGATGGTTGGATATTCACTTAAGATAGACATGGTCAGATGTCCATCTCATCCAAGATAGTTGGACATTTAACTGGATACAGATAGTCGGACATCATTTAAGATAGAAATGGTCAGTTGTCCATCTCATCCAAGAGAGTCGGACATCTAACTGGATACAGATGGTTGGACGTTCACTTAGACAGATATGGTCAGATGTCCAGTTTTCGTGCACCCAAAGAATGGTCACCTTCAACCCAAAATATTGGGGGAAGGGTCACTCAAGACAGGGATGGTCAGATAACCAACTGTATACTCAAAAACTTCTTGCAGACCAAAAGATGGGGGTCCCCCAAGATAGAGATGGTCAGATGTCCAACAAGCGCACCTTTCCTTGTACTCAACTTCTGGCCCCCTCAGGCTAAAACATGGGGTTCCCCAGGACAGAGAGGGTCAGATGTCCACCAGACAGATGAACACATATCCACTGGATAGAGGTGCTCAGACATCTAACTGGACAGAGATAGACATCCAACCAGGACAGAGATGGCCAGATGTCCAATCAGGACAGGAACAGTTAAGACATCCAACTGGTGGGGCTTCCTCGCATTCCTCAGTCCAAAATATGGGAGTCCCTGTGGTGGTTGCATTATAGCACAAAGAGGGAACCTCAAGATTTTTGAAAACCCAAACAGTCGCAGTAGAATGCAGAAAGGTTCTGCTTCCTCAGAAGAACATTGAGCTGGATCTGGACCCAACAGGCCTCTTTCTGGAAAGCAAGGGCACTTGAAGAAGAATGGCCAGGGATCTCCCAGACAGCATGCAAACCAACTCTTGCAAGGCATAGCAAAGGGACCCCATGGGCACCTCCTCCAAACCTCCCCAACTTTTCCATAATGGAGACTCCACTCAGCCCTGTAGCCCCCCAAACTTGTGGTCAAGCAGAATGCAGGACGGTTACCTCGTCCCTGAAAAGCAAAAATCGCAAAGAGCATTGCTGCATTTTTCTGCAAAATGCACACACCTGGAACAGTAGAAGCCCATTTCTCTCTCCAAATTTGTGGCAACACTCCATTGCAACACTCCAAGGCATCTGGAAATAGCCTGGGCAACCTCATTGGTACTTGCAAACCCTAGTTTGTCCATCCAAATGCAAGAAGGTCCTGCTTCCTCCATCCCCACAAGCAAAAACTTGGAAAAGTATCACCAAGGGTAGTTCTATTTTCCCTCCAAACACTGGTTGCAACGTTGCTCCAAGGGGAACGGAAACCGGGCGCCTCTCACCTTGCCGCGGGTCGAACTGCCGCATCTGCACCTCCTCCACACATTCTGCGGGGAACCATCCGGTGCGGCCTTTGACGGTCCCTTCCCAGAAGCCCCCTTCTCCGACGCTCAGCACTGGAGAGATCAGGGAGAGAAAAGACAAGGGGGAGAACACGTGAGAGAGCCATTGCGAATTGTACCCTGTCCCTAGGACTTCACCCCTTTGCAGCCCGAAAGACAGCTGCATCTGTCAAGTAGGAAATTTAGGTACTGCTTATGCAGGAAGGCTAATTTATAACACCATAAAAATCTCCAGCAAGCATGCAAAAAATGAGGAAGTACTTCATCAGTGTCACAAATGGACAGTGAAGCGACAGCTCCCCTTGTGGCCAGAATACCCTCATGAAAAAGCTGGAATGTTAAATAGCCTCTGTGTCTATCTATATATGTTGTGTGTCTATGGCATTGAATGTTTGCCATGTATATGTACATTGTAATCCGCTCTGAGTCACATGCAGTGTGAGAAGGGTGGAATATAAATACTGTAAATAAATACTAAATAAATAAATCACCCAGTCCAACCCCATTCTGCCAAGAAGCAGGAAAATTGCATTCAAAGCACCCCCAACAGACGGCCATCCAGCCTCTGCTTCAAAGCCTCTAAAGAAGTAGCCTCCACCACACTAGTCCCAGCCTGGTCATTCCACAGATATATAAACCCTTTTTCCTACTTCCAATAGACCTCACTACTTCTGAGGATGCTTGCCATAGATGCAGGTGAAACGTCAGGAGAAAATGCCTCTAGACCATGGCCATATAGCCTGAAAAAATCCTACTACAACCCAGTTTCTTTTATTTATTTATTTCGTGCACTTCTACCCCACCCTTTTCCCCCCAAGAGGGGACTCAGGAGTAGTTTACTCTTCATGCTAAACTATAAAGAGTAAACTACTTGTTATTTACTATTCATCGACGTGGCATATTTTCTTTCTCTGACAAGGCAGCGTGTGGGCTGATCAAATGTGAACTACATGTGGTTTAGTTCACATTACGCCACAAAATCTATTATGTCTGCTATATATCTGTATCCTTCATCCCCTCTTTTCCCCATTTCCAATGAAAGGTTCAGACTAAAACCCAAGGCGGACGGAAGGGCGCATCCTTCTGCACTGTGGAACGAATAATGCTGCCTGGTGCCTCTCGACTTGCTTTGGCTCAATGCAACCCTCCTTTGTTGCAAGGGCGCTTTACGCACCGATGCTTCCTTCGGATGCACACCATTGCTCGATTTGGAGATCCCCCCTTTTCCCCATTTCCCATGAAAGGCTTGGGTCCTTTTAAAGTTCAGACTGAAACCCAAGTCGGACAGAAAGGTGCATCCTTCTGCACTGTGGAAGGAATAATGCAGCCTGATGCCTCTCAATTTGGCTCAATGCAACCCTCCTTTGTTGCAAGGGCGCTTTATGCACCGATGCTTCCTTCGGATGCACACCATTGCTCGATTTGGAGATGCGCAATTGGCTTTTGGGGAACCGAGAGCAACCGGAGTGGCGTGGCCGGGAGAGCGGCTTCCAATTAAGAGGATGGTTGCGTTCCGCCTGGCCGAGCCCAAAGATCTGCTTAACAAGGCCGGCTTAAATAAATGCACACAATTACCATATCTCCCATCGGAAGGCAGGGAGCAGAGGAGAGAATGCGGCGGGAGCCAAGTCCCCATTTGGGGTGCATCTTGCACAGAACGGCATCTACACGGGTGGAAAATCAGCCCCAAAGTTGAATGCTGGAGATGCCAGGGGCTGGTTTGCAAAGCCCTCTTGTCCTCCTCCTCCTCCTTCCTGCAAGATGTTCCAAGCAGAGGCCTGGCCTCTTAGCCATTTCAAATGCAATCACAGGAGCGCATTGGCAAAGCAGCCTGCTAATCAAATCAAGCGGGCACAAGCTGGCAGGCAAGTCCCGGGCAGGAGCATGGCAAACCCAGGTGCATTGCCTGCAAGGCAAGCCAAGGAGGGAGCAGAGCGGCAGTTCAGGAAAGCCGGGGAGATCTTCCTGAAGGAAAGCAGATCAACACCACTGGAGCTGCCATGGCGTCACGCTCCTGTGTCCAATTCTGGGCACCACAATTCAAGAGAGATATTGACTCTAAGCTGGAATGTGTCCAGAGGAGGGCGACTCAAATGATCAAGGGTCTGGAGAACAAGCCCTATGAGGAGCGGCTTAAGGAGCTGGGCATGTTGAGCCTGAAGAAGACTAGGACGCAGAACAATGGCTTCAAACTACAAGAAAGGAGATTCCATCTGAACATGAGGAAGAACTTCCAGACTGTGAGAGCCATTCAGCAGTGGAACTCTCTGCCCCCGAGGTTGGAGGAGGTTCCTTCTTTGGAAGCTTTTAAACAGAGGCTGGATGGCCATCTGTCAGGGGTGATTTGAATGCAATATTCCTGCTTCTTGGCAGAATGGTAGCCCATCTAACTTGGCCTTGGAGGAAGGAGTCCGGTGGAGACTCCTTCCTTGGAGGCATTTCAACAGAGGCAGGATGGCCATCTGTCAGGAGTGCTTTGATGGTGCTTTTCCTGCATGGAAGAAGGGGATGGACTGGATGGTCTTTGGGGGTCCCATCTAACTTGGCCTTGGAGTCTGATGGAGACACCTCCCTTGGAGGCATTTCAACAGAGGCAGGATGGCCATCTGTCGGGAGTGCTTTAATGGTGCTTTTCATGCATGGAAGAAGGGGATGGACTGGATGGCCTTTGGGGGTCTCTTTCAACTCTAGGATTCCATACTTTTAGGAAAATAAGTGCAAGAATAGTGTGGTATAAATAAACCCAACAACAACAACCACGTCCCTCTTGGTCCCACCGTGGTGCCATTCGCACCTGGAAAAGGGAGGGATGTGCACAGAGATCTGCCACCATTCCCACCGCTGCCGCTCTCCCCCGGGCCTCCAGCTGCGCGGCGCTTGATCATTCCACCCTCGTTATGTATTTTAATTAAACATTTATGTATACAAGAGGTGCCAATCAAAGCAAACCAGGCTAAAGGGGGAATGAATGTCTTCTCCCCAAAGTTAATGAGCGCTTCCCAGCGTTAACAATTCATTAGTCCCTTGGAATGAACGAGGCGCTTTTGTAAAAGGTGGGGTCAACTCGGGTGCGCCGGCCCTGCGGGGCGGGTTCTAGTCTGAACTATAAAGGGCTTTTTTCCAAGGGATGAAGATATTTGGGGGACACGATTAAGGTGCTCTGAGGAAAAAAAACTTTAACATGTCTGTCTGTCTGTCTGTCTATCTAGCCATCAATACCTTTCTCTGTCTTCCATCTATCTTATCCCTCTTTTCCATCCATCCATCCATCCTCTCTCTCTCTTGGTCCTCTCTCTCTCTTTCTTTCTTTCTCTACAAACTATTCATCAATTCGTCCTCTCTTTCTCTGTCAACCCGTCTTCTTTGCATATCTCCATCTTCTCTATTTATCCATTTCATCTTATCTCTCCCTTTAATCATCTATCCACCCACCAATCTCTCTCTCCATTATATCTTTCTTTCTTTCTCTATCATCCATCCATAATATCCCTCTTCTTCCATCCATCCATCCTCTCTTTCTCTTGGTCTTCTCTCCTTCTTTCTCTATCAGCTTTTCAGCCATCCATCCTCTCTTTCTCTATCCACCCATCTTCTTTACATATCTCAATCTTATCTATTTCTCTATCTATCCATTCAATTTGTCTTATTTCTCTATCTATCTATCTATCTATCTATCTATCTATCTATCTATCTAGCCATCAATCTCTCTCTTTCCATCATACCTCTTTCTTTCTCTATCATCCCTCCATCATATCCCTTTTCCCGTCCATCCATCCATCTTCTCCCTCTCTTGGTCTTCTTTCTTTCTTTCTTTCTTTCTTTCTCTACCAACTCTCCATCAGTCCATTTTCTCTTTATCCACCCATTTTCTTTGCATATCTCCATCTTCTCTATTTCTCTATCTATCCATTTCATCTTATCGTTCCCTTTAATTATCTATCCACCCACCAATCTCTCTCTCCATTATGTCTTTCTCTCTCTATCATCCATCCATCATATCCCTCTTTTCCCATCCATCCATCTTCTTGGTTTTCTCTCTTTCTCTATCAACTATCTATCCATTCGTCACCTCTTTATCTATCCATCATTCATATCCATCCATCATATCCCTCTTTTTCCATCCATCCATCCATCTTCTTGGCTTTCTCTCTTTCTCTATCAACTATCTATCCATTCGTCACCTCTTTATCTATCCATCATTCATATCCATCCATCATATCCCTCTTTTATCCATCCATCCATCCATCCATCCATCCATCCATCCATCCATCCATCCATCCATCCATCCATCTTCTTGGCTTTCTCTCTTTCTACAAGATCAACTAATACCCTATCCAATCGTAATAACACCATCGCTTTTAATCTATCTATCAACATCATATCTCATCGCCCTTACCATATCCCTCGTTGGTTTCCATCCTCATCATACCATCCACTTCCATCACGCATCCAGTCCAGCCCATCTCACAAAATTTTTTTTATTATCATGACCATCATACCATACTGTTCATTTGGTTTATTCTTTCTCTAATCAAAGTATCTATCCATTGCCACCTCATTATCTATCCACTCATTCATACTCCAATCCAATCCAATAGATCTTTATTGGCATCCATCCATCCATCCCATCCATCCCATCCATCCATTCCATCTTCTGTTGCTTTCTCTCTTTCTGTCTATCAACAAATCTATCCATATCTGATCCGAACTCATATTATATATTATACTAAGTCCATAAAACTTTGAATCAACAAATCAACATCATATTCCCTCTTATTTCCATCAACACCACCAGTCCCAAGACCATCTAATCCTATTCACATCCATACACATCTGTATAGGCTTTCTCCTTTCTCTATCAACGAATCTATCATTCGTCACCCATACATTTATCTCATCACCTACAAATACCTACTATCCATAATATCCCTTTATCATCCATCCATCAATCCATCCAACATCCGAATCACAGCCATCCATCCATAACCATTCCAATCAATACATCTCTTGGCTTACTCACCTTTCATTATCAACCGCTATATATACCAATTCGTCTCACACTCTTTATAGACATAACCCACAAGTCAACAACTGTTCAATATGCCATCCATCATATCCCTCTTTTTCCATCCACATCCATCCATCCATCCATCCATCCATCCATCTTCTTGGCTTTCTCTCTTTCTCTATCAACTATCTATCCATTCGTCACCTCTTTATCTATCCATCATTCATATCCATCCATCATATCCCTCCTTTTCCATCTATCCATCCATCTTCTTGGCTTTCTCTCTTTCTCTATCAACTATCTATCCATTCATCACCTCTTTCTCTATCCATCATTCGTATCTAGATCTATGTGCATGCCCTGGAGACCAAGTTTGAATCCTCCACTCGGTCATGGCAACCCATTGGGTGATTTGGGCCAGGCACACTCTCTCGGCCCTTGAAAAACCTGTGATAGGATGGCCTAGGAATGGCTTGCAGGTGATAGGGTCACATGAGGGCCACCCTAAGTCAGAAATGGCATGTGGGAACACACCATAATCATCACGAGGCAGGATGGAAGGGCTGCGTTGGTCTCTATCCGGATCGGCTCCTGCGTGGAAACAATCCCCATCCCTCTTGTAAAAGGCGAGAGGATTTCCCTGATCGAATCAATAATGCAGGAGTTCTGATTGTGATCCGTGCTTTGGCGGAGAACGGGGTCCCCAAAGAACCCGGCAGGAAGAGGCGGGGAGGAGGCAGCCAATGCAAAAGGGGGTTTGCATTTGAATATTTGCTAATGCCAAAGCAGACCAGGGGAAGACCCCAGACTCCGAGGTGTCCCTGGACTCTTAACCCATTCAGCTTGGGGCACTTGCAAGGGATGAGGTAGCCCTTGGAGGTCCCTTCCAACTCGTTGTTGTTGTTGTTGTTACTATTATTAGTAACACTGTGTCCAATTCTGGGCACCACAATTGAAGGGATATGTTGACAAGCTGGAATGTGTCCAGAGGAGGGTGACTAAAATGATCAAGGGTCTGGAGAACAAGCCCTATGAGGAGCGGCTTAAAGAGCTGGGCATGTTTAGCCTGAAGAAGAGAAGACTGAGAGGAGACATAGAATCCTAGAATCAAAGAGTTGGAAGAGACCTCCTGGGCCATCATCCAGTCCAACCCCATTCTGCCAAGAAGCAGGAATATTGCATTCAAATCACCCCTGACAGATGGCCATCCAGCCTCTGTGTAAAAGCTTCCAAAGAAGGAGCCTCCACCACACTCCTTCTGGGCAGAAGTTAAAGGTATAAATATGTGAGAGGAAGCCACAGGGAGGAGGAGGGAGCAAGCTTGTTTTCTGCTTCCCTGGAGACTAGGACACAATGGAAGAATGGCTTCAAACTACAAGAGAGGAGATTCCATCTGAACATGAGGAAGAACTTCCTGACTGTGAGAGCCGTTCAGCAGTGGAACTCTCTGCCCCGGAGTGTGGTGGAGGCTCCTTCTTTGGAAGCTTTTTAAACAGAGGCTGGATGGCCATCTGTCAGGGGTGATTTGAATGCAATATTCCTGCTTCTTGGCAGGATGGGGTTGGACTGGATGATGGCCCATGAGGTCTCTTCCAACTCTTGGATTCTATTAAACAGAAGCTGAATGGCCATCTGTCGGGAGGACTTTGATAGTGTCTTTCCTGACAGAAGGAGTCTATTGTTGTTGTTGTTGTTGTTATACACAAACTGCTGTCTGAGAGTCCAGTGGAGTCTCCTTCCTTCTTTGGAGGTCTTTGAGCAGAGGCTGAATGGCTGTCTCTTGGGAGGGTTTCAACTGTGTCTTCCTGTCTGGCGGGTTGGACTGGATGACCTTTGGAGTCCCCTTTATGACTCGATTGTGTTGATCTCATTCAAAGTGAGCAGGGCGCAAGCCAAGGCCCGAGTTGGCTGGCTTTAAATTGCCAATTCCTGGGCTCCGCTGGGTGGAAAGGCTTATGCAAATCAAGGCCAATCAATCCCAAAAAAAGGTATTTTTAGCCACCCGGCCGCCTGGCCTCCCATTGATTAGGAAGGCATTTCCCTCCACAGATCCAAGGATGGGGAAAAAACCGAAAAGAGTATTTCCAAAGGAAGGTGGAAAGCAACTAACACACACATGGGTTGACTTCTGCTTTCAATGTAAACAAGGAAGAAGAGCAGAGCGGCACCCAAAGTGGCACCCCTTCGGAGCACTCAGAGCGCATCTACACGCTGGAATGAATAATAATAGTTATTATTATTGTTGTTATTATTTTATTTCTTATCCACCTCTTCTCCTAGTGGTTCGAGGCAGGTCACAGCACAGTCAAAACACACAAACATTGCAAAAACTCTATGTGCAAAAGTACATATTACAAGGTGGCTCAAAACATTGCAAAAACTCTAAATCTATGTGCAAAACATCTATGTGCAAAAACTCTTATTATGTGCCAAAACAATGTGCAAAAACTCTTTGTGCAAAATTCTATGTGTGGAAACACATATTACAAAGTGGGTCAAAGCACAGTCAAAACATAACATTGCAAAAACTCTATGTGCAAAAACTCTAAATCTATGTGCAAAAAATCTATGTGCAATAACTTACTATGTGCAAAAACTCTATGTGCAAAATTCTATGTGTGAAAACACATATTAAAAGGTGGCTCAAAGCACAGTCAAAACACAAACATTGCAAAAGCTCTGTGTGCAAAAACTCTTAACCATGTGCAAAAATTCTTTATTCAAAATATCTATGTGCAAAAACTCTATGTGCAAAAACTCTATGCGCAAAAACACATATTACAAGGTAGGTCAAAGCACAGTCAAAACACAAGCATTGCAAAGCTCTATGTGCAAAAATTCTAACTCTATGTGCAAAAACTCTTATGTGCAAAAAATCTATATGCAAAAACTCTAACTATGTGCAAAATTCTATGTGCTAAAACCCATATTAAAATGTAATTCTATAAAAGATACATATTGAAATGTATTTCTTTATTATGAATGCACCTTGGCCCCACTTTGACTGCCGTGGCTCAATGCTATGGGACCCAGGGTGTTGCAGTATGGTCAGTTGCCAGCACTCTTTGGCATCAGAGGCTAAGGGCCTTGGGAAACTACAACTCCCAGGATCCCATTGCATTGGGCTAGGTCAGTTCGAGGGATGTCAAACTGCATTCATTCCACTGTGCAGATGCAACTCAAGAGAGGCCTGGATTTGCAAACAATACTATTTTGGGTCCAGGATTCCTGCTAATGGTCACAGCTGCATCCACAGCTTTGCAGTTTGGAGAAGAATCCCGGGATTTGCAATTCAGGGAAATGCACTTCCTTGAACTTTCCTAGACGGTTTCTAGCAGAATTCTGTGCAATGTCCTACCCTTAGGGGTTCTCCCCCGATTTCTGCAAGCCATCCCCATGTGTTACCCGCACACATCTCAATCCCCCCATATGCCCAGTAAATCCCAGTCTACCCAATACATCATTCCAAAATGGGTTGCATTTCTTAAAGGTCCAGGAAGGAGCATTAAGGGGCAGAGGAAGGGGAAAGGAGAGACCCCCCCCCAATAAAAGACCCCCGAGAGAGGAGCAATGGGGTGAGTGGATGAGCGAGGAGAAGCGAGGATGATGGGTGGATGGGCGGTCATAGTTACCCGGCTGGCGCTGCGGACCGTCCAGAGTGGAGCATGGATGGGCATGAGAGAGCAGAGCGAGAGATGGGACAGAGCGTCCGGCTGGCGACAAAGAAGAAGGTCAGAGACAGGGAGACACACCCAAGAAGGAGGCACAGGCCCACAGGACACCATGGCACCCCCCACCCCAACAGAGCCCAAGGGCCCCACTGGCACCCCCCCAAAGGTCCCTTTCCACACACCCTGGAAGCCCTTGCCTTCAGGCAGGCAGGCATGGGATGCAGAGAAAGAGAATGGAGATAAGAGGACAGGCAGACAGACAGACACAATTGACAGATTGATAGATAGATAAATGGATGGATGGATGGATGGACGGACGGACGGACGGATGGATGGATGGATGGATGGATGGATGGATGGACGGATGGATAGACATTCAGACTTGAGGGAGAGTGACAGGGAGATGGAGATAGATAAGTGCTAGACAGACAGATGACAAAGAGATACAGACAGATACTGGAGATAATAGATAGATAGATAGATAGATAGATAGATAGATAGATAGATAGATAGATAGACAGACATAGATGATTGACAGATTTATAGAGAAGAGCCTGAGGTGATAGATAAATATTGATCATCTCAAGGTAGATAGACGGACAACAGAGATAGATAGACAGATACTGGAGATGATGGACATCGATGACTGACAGAGATTGGAGATTGACATAGATGACTGACAGGTTTATATATAAGAACTTGAGATGATAGATAGATACATACATAGACACATACACAGAGATGGACTTGATGGAGAGACAGAGAGGTGGAGATAGAAAAGATAGAAAAAGATAGATAGATAGATAGATAGATAGATAGATAGATAGATAGATAGATAGATAGATAGATAGATAGATAGTCAGACTTGAGGGATAGTGAGAGAGAGATGGAGACAGATAAGTGACAACTAGACAGACAGATGACACAGATAGAGGAGGAGTGGCTTAAGGAGCTGGGCATATTTAGCCTGAGGAAGAGAAGTCTGAGAGGAGACATGATGATGGCCATGTATCAATATGTGAGAGGAAGCCACAGGGAGGAGGAGGAGGGAGCAAGCTTCCTTTCTGCTTCCTTGGAGACAAGGACACGAAACAATGGCTTCAAACCACAAGAGAGGAGATTCCATTTGAACACGAGGAAGAACTTCCTGACTGTGAGAGCCGTTCAGCAGTGGAACTCTCTGCCCCGGAGGGAGTGTGGTGGAGGCTCCTTCTTTGGAAGCTTTTAAACAGAGGCTGGATGGCCATCTGTCAGGGGTGATTTGAATGCAATATTCCTGCTTCTTGGCAGAATGGGGTTGGACTGGATGATGGCCCAGGAGGTCTCTTCCAACTCTTTGATTCTATGATATACATATATATATATACATATACATACATATACACATATATATACAGACTGACAGACAGACAGAGAGAGAGAGAGAGATGGATATAGATAGACTGAAGGAGGAGAGGGAAAGATAGATGGATGAGATTGGATGACTAGACAGACAGACAGACAAAAATAGGGGAGACTGGAGATAGATGATTGATGGCGAGATGATAGGTAGGGACCAGAGATAGATAGATAGTAGATAGATAGATAGATAGATAGATAGATAGATAGATAGATAGATAGATAGATGCATAATGGAAACCCCAAAGCACAAGGTCAAAGATTTTTACCTTCCTTCCTTCTCCTTCCTTCCTTCCCTTCCACTCATTCGTCCTTCCATCCCTCCCTCCCTTCTGTCTTTGCGCACAAACTCTCAATATGCCCAAATGTGAACACTGGTGGAGTTTGGGGGAAAAAGAATCTTGACATTTGAGAGTTGTAGTTGCTGAGATTTGTAGTTCACCTACAATCACAGAGCATTCTGAACCCCACTAATAATAGAATTGGGCCAAACCTCCCACACAGAACCCCCATGACCACCGGAGTGGGCCACAGCAACGCGTGGCAGGAGACAGCTAGTGGATTAATACTTTTTTAAACCTTCTGATTTTCTTACAAGCATTTATTTCTTCTGGCTATTTACTAAGCTTTAATAAAAGAAGATTTGATTCTTCACCCTTCGTGTGGTGTGTTTTAAGTCAGAGGGCTTCTTCTGGACCTGGAGTGCAACAATACTCTGTAGTAGGGATGTGCGATCCATAAAAATGGGTCAAAAGTCATTACAAAACTAGGGGGCACTAGTGCTTCGTTTCTAAAGTGTTTCTAAAGTACTACTATAACGAGAATAATGATTTATTTGTTATTATTTCATCATAGTAATTGTGCAAATTGGGAAGTTTCAGGGGCTCCTCTCTCCCTCATTTTCAAAACTATTGAGGTAAAACTTGCTACAATGGCAGAAGAAAATTGACCACTGTTATCCCACCAAATTTCAGAACGGATTTTTCATGCTGCCTTGTTTCATGGATTTTTGTTCCAATCGACCTTATTTTGCCTTGAAGCTCATGGACTATCCATTGCTTTACTGTTTTTGTTAATTTTACTGCTTTGTATACATATACTCTTCAATAAACTGCTTGCTGATTTTACCAAGCCGGTATGGTGTTTAAGGTCAGAGGTGTTCCTGCTCTGGTGTATGACAACAACAATCTTTCCATCTTTTCTCTCACTTTCTACTCAAAACCTGTATTGATTTGATTTTGATGTTACTTATTATATTGGAGTTGTATTTTATGTATTTTATGTTTTGGTTTTGTTATGCTTTTCTGTTATATTGTGTTTACTGTATTGATGTTCGTGGCTTCATGTAAGCCAAATCGAGTCCCCATGGGGGGAATGGAGCGGGGTATAAATAAAGTTTTATTTTTAATTAATTAATTAATTAATTATTATTATCATTATTTGTTCCAATTGACCTTATTTTGCCTTGAAACTCATGGACTATCAATTGCTTCAAGAACTTTACTGTTTTTGATAATGTTACTGCTTTGCTTACATATATTCTTCAATAAACTGCTTGCTAATTTTACCAAGCCGGTGTGGTGTTTAAAGTTAGAGGTGTTCTTGCTCTGGTGTATGACAACAGCGATCCTTCCATCTTTTCTCTCACTTTCTTTTGGTTCCAATCGACCTTATTTTGCCTTGAAACTCATGGACTATCCTTTGCTTCGGGAACTTTACTATTTCTGTTAATTTTACTGCTTTGCTTACATATATTCTTCAATAAACTGTTTGCTAATTTTACCAAGCCGGTGTGGTGTTTAAGGTTAGAGGTGTTCCTGTTCTGGTATACAACAACAGCGATCCTTCCATCTTTTCTCTCACTTTCTTTTGGTTCCAATCGACCTTATTTTGCCTTGAAACTCATGGACTATCCTTTGCTTTGGGAACTTTACTGTTTTTGCTAATTTCACTGCTTTGCCTACTTACTGTATTTTCTTCAATAAACTGCTTGCTGATTTTACCAAGCTGTTGTGGTGTTTAAGGTTAGAGGTGTTCCTGCTCTGGTGTATGACAACAGCGATCCTTCCATCTTTTCTCTCACTTTCTTTTGGTTCCAATCGACCTTATTTTGCCTTGAAGCTTGTGGACTATCTGTTGCTTCGGGAACTTTACTATTTCTGTTAATTTTACTGCTTTGCTTACATATATTCTTCAATAAACTGTTTGCTAATTTTACTAAGCCGGTGTGGTGTTTAAGGTTAGAGGTGTTCCTGCTCTGGTGTATGACAACAGCTATCCTTCCATCTTTTCTCTCACTTTCTTTTGGTTCCAATCGACCTTATTTTGCCTTGAAGCTTGTGGACTATCTGTTGCTTCGGGAACTTTACTATTTCTGTTAATTTTACTGCTTTGCTTACATATATTCTTCAATAAACTGTTTGCTAATTTTACTAAGCCGGTGTGGTGTTTAAGGTTAGAGGTGTTCCTGCTCTGGTGTATGACAACAGCGATCCTTCCATCTTTTCTCTCACTTTCTTTTGGTTCCAATCGACCTTATTTTGCCTTGAAGCTTGTGGACTATCCTTTGCTTCGGGAACTTTACTATTTCTGTTAATTTTACTGCTTTGCTTACATATATTCTTCAATAAACTGTTTGCTAATTTTACCAAGCCGGTGTGGTGTTTAAGGTTAGAGGTGTTCCTGTTCTGGTATACAACAACAGCGATCCTTCCATCTTTTCTCTCACTTTCTTTTGGTTCCAATCGACCTTATTTTGCCTTGAAACTCATGGACTATCCTTTGCTTCGGGAACTTTACTGTTTCTGTTAATTTTACTGCTTTGCTTACATATATTCTTCAATAAACTGTTTGCTAATTTTACTAAGCCGGTGTGGTGTTTAAGGTTAGAGGTGTTCCTGCTCTGGTGTATGACAACAGCGATCCTTCCATCTTTTCTCTCACTTTCTTTTGGTTCCAATCGACCTTATTTTGCCTTGAAGCTTGTGGACTATCTGTTGCTTCGGGAACTTTACTATTTCTGTTAATTTTACTGCTTTGCTTACATATATTCTTCAATAAACTGTTTGCTAATTTTACTAAGCCGGTGTGGTGTTTAAGGTTAGAGGTGTTCCTGCTCTGGTGTATGACAACAGCGATCCTTCCATCTTTTCTCTCACTTTCTTTTGGTTCCAATCGACCTTATTTTGCCTTGAAGCTTGTGGACTATCTGTTGCTTCGGGAACTTTACTATTTCTGTTAATTTTACTGCTTTGCTTACATATATTCTTCAATAAACTGTTTGCTAATTTTACTAAGCCGGTGTGGTGTTTAAGGTTAGAGGTGTTCCTGCTCTGGTGTATGACAACAGCGATCCTTCCATCTTTTCTCTCACTTTCTTTTGGTTCCAATCGACCTTATTTTGCCTTGAAGCTTGTGGACTATCTGTTGCTTCGGGAACTTTACTATTTCTGTTAATTTTACTGCTTTGCTTACATATATTCTTCAATAAACTGTTTGCTAATTTTACTAAGCCGGTGTGGTGTTTAAGGTTAGAGGTGTTCCTGCTCTGGTATACAACAACAGCTATCCTTCCATCTTTTCTCTCACTTTCTTTTGGTTCCAATCGACCTTATTTTGCCTTGAAACTCATGGACTATCCTTTG